TACCAAAGGACATCATTGGTTAACAAATGCTAGTTTAACCAAGTAACAAAGCTTGCTATGTGAAAATCCCCACATAACCACTGAAGTTTGCAAAACCCTAAACCCCACCACCTTGTTCCTGGTACCAGAGAGCCCAGTTGAACATAACTGTATAGAGGTGTTGGACTCAGTTTATTCTAGAACGCCCAACCTCCGAGACCATCCTTAAACATTAGTAGACTGTGAGCTGTAAGTGGACAGGAGCAGCTTCGCCAACCCGTGGGAAGTGACTCTGAAGAAGATGACAAGCCCTGCTCCAGTCACACCTGGAAGCTGACTGATCCACGCACGGCCGAAGCGTGAGGAAACTCATCGTGGGACTCATTTCCCTTAAAATTTGGACTTGTACACTAAGGACTTCAACTGACCTTCCTCAGACTGAGGGCTGTTCCCAGTGTATACATCAAGTCACTGAGGTAGGACAAAAGGTTGCTATGGTCCTATTATTTTATGGTTATTATAAGTATACTGGAACTCTAAAAAGAACTTGTTTGTATAATGTTATTCTATACAAGGTATGTAGCCCAGGAAATGACCAACCTGATGTGTGTTATGACCCATCTGAGCCTCCCATGACCACAGTTCTTAAAATAAGATTAAGGACTGAGGACTGGTGGGAACTTATAAACAATATGAGTAAAGTGTTAGCCAAAACAGGAAAAAAAAAAAAAAAAAAGGGTGGTCAAACAAGTCACCTTAAAATTTGATGCCTGTGCTGTCATTAATAGTAATAAGTTAGGAATAAGATATGGTTCTCTTAATTAGGGACGAGACTATATGGCAGAAAATAAGTACATCTGTCATAAATTAGGACTGTGTGGAAATAAATGTAAATACTGGTCTTGTGTCATTTAGGCCACTTGGATAAAAGAAAAAAAATGATGAAAAGGATCCAGTCCACCTTCAGAAAAGAAAAAATGGCCCTTCCTGTACTAAGGGTCAATGTAACCACTTAGAGTTAGTAATAACCAATCCCCTTGATGCTCACTGTAAAAAAAGAGGAGTATGTGACCTTAGGAATTCATGGGGCCAGACTGGATCCTCGAGTAAATATCTTGGTTCAAGGAGAAGTTTACAAATGCTCTCCTGAGCCAGTGTTTCAAACTTTTTATGATAAACTAAATGTATCAGTACCAGAAATTCCAGGAAAAACAAGAAATTTGTTTTTGCAATTAGCTGAGCATGTAGCTCAGTCTCTCAATGTCACTTCATGTTATGTATGTGGAGGAACTGTAATGGGAGATCAATGGCCATGGGAAGCCTGAGAATTAGTGCCTACAGACCCAGTTCCTGATGAATTCCCAGCTCAAAAGAATCACCCTGATAATTTCTGGGTCCTAAAAGCCTGAGTTATTGGACAATATTGCATAGCTAGAGAAGGAAAAGAATTCATTCACCCTGTAGGATGACTTAGTTGTCTGGGACAGAAACTGTATATTGGTACCACAAAAACAGTCACTTGGTAGAGTTTAAATCAAACAGAGAGGAATCCATTTAGCAAATTCCCAAAGTTGCAAACCGTGTGGACCCACCCGGAGTCCCACCGGGACTGGACAGCCCCCACTGGATTGTATTGGATATGTGGGTATAGAGCTTATGCCAAATTACCTGACCAGTGGGCAGGCAGTTGTGTTATTGGCTCTATTAAACCATCTTTCTTCCTACTGCCCATAAAAACAGGTGAAATCCTGGGCTTCCCTGTCTATGCTTCCTGTGAAAAGAGAAGCATAGCTATAGGAAATTGGAAAGATGATGAATGGCCCCCTGAGAGAATTGTACAATATTATGGGCCTGCTACTTGGGCACAAGACAGCTCATGGGGATACTGGACCCCCATTTACATGATCAATCGAATCATATGGTTATAAGCTGTCTTAGAAATAATCACTAATAAAACTGGCAGAGCCTTGACTATTCTGGCCCGGCAAGAATCTCTGATGAGAAATGCTATCTATCAAAATAGATTGGCTCTCGACTACTTGCTAGCAGCTGAAGGAGGGGTCTGTGGAAAATTTAACCTTACTAATTGCTGCCTACACATAGATAATCAAGGGCAAGTAATTGAAGACATAGTTAGAGATATGACAAAACGGGCACATGTGCCTGTGCAAGTGTGGCATGGATTTGATCCTGGGGCCATGTTTGGAAAATGGTTCCCAGCGCTAGGAGGATTTAAAACTCTTATAATAGGAGTTATAATAATAATAGGAACCTGCCTACTGCTCCCTTGTTTGATACTTCTACTTCCTAAAATGATAAAAAGCTTCATCGCTACCTTAGTTCACCAAAATGCCTCAGCACAAATGTACTATATAAATCACTATCGATCTGTCTTGCAAGAAGACATGGGTAGTGAAAATGAAAGTGAGAACTCCCCCTAATAAAATGAGTGAGAGTCTCAAAAGGGGGAAATAAGGGAGGAGACCACCCCTCATATTGTCTTATAACCAATTTCTGCCTCCAAAAAAAGAAGAAGTAAAAACTAAAAGGCAGAAATGAAATCCACAGGCAGACAGCCTGGCATGGCACCCTGGGCCTGGTAGTTAAAGATCGACCTCTGACCTAATTGGTTCTGTTATCTATAGATTACAGACATAAAGAAATGCACTGTGAAAATCCATATGTTGTTTTGTTCCAATCTAATTACCAGCACATGCGGCCCCCAGTCACATACCCCCTGCTTGCTCAATCAATCACGACCCTCTCACATGCACCCCCTTAGAGTTGTGAGCCCTAAAAGGGACAGCAATTGCTCACTCGGGGAGCTCGGCTCTTGAGACAGGAGTCTTGCCGGTGTGCCTGGCTGAATAAGCCCCTTTGTTCTTTAACTCGGTGTCTGAGGAGTTTTGTCTGCATCTTGTCCTGCTACAAAAGAAGTTGGTCAAAACCCACCAAAACCAAGATGGCCATGAGAGTGACCTCTGGTCATCCTCACTGCTTATCATATGCTAATTATTATACATTAGCATGCTAAAAGACATGCCCATCAGTGCATGACAGTTTACAAATGCCATGGCAGCATCAGGAAGTTACCCTATATGGTCTAAAAAGGGGAGGAGGCCAGGCGCAGTGGCTCACACCTGTAATTCCAGCACTTTGAGAGGCCGAGGTGGGCAGATCACCTGAGGTCGGGAGTTTGAGACCAGCCTGGCCAACATAGTGAAACCCTGTCTCTACTAAAAATACAAAAATTAGCCGGGCGTGGTGGCGGGCACCTGTAACCCAGCTACTCAGGAGGCTGAGGCAGGACAATTGCTTGAGACCAGCCTGGCCAACACAGTGAAACCCCATCTCTACTAAAAAATAGAAAAAAAATTAGCCGGGCGTGGTGGCAAAAGCCTGTAATCCTAGCTACTTGTGAGGTTGAGGCAGGAGAATTGCTTGAACCTGGGAGGCGGAGGTTGCAGTGAGCCCAGACCACACCATTGCACTCCAGCCTGGGCAACAAGAGCAAAACTCCGTCTCACAAAAAAAAAAAAAGAAAAAAAAGACTCTTCTCTGCCTCACTACACAAAATGCGAATCTCCATTATAGCACTCAATAGCTTTACATCTTCAGTGGGTACCTTGAATAAAGGCAAGGTCTTCCTTTCAAGCCATAACTCTCACCTGTCCCTGTCTCAGAAATTGTGGCCCTCTCACGCCAAGCTTTTCTCTTCTGTGCCTTTGCACCTTGTGGTTTTTCTGAAATGGTGTCTTTCGTCTGTCCTGGCTAAGTCCAACTCATTAAAGGTGGGCTTCGGGATTACTTCTGGGAAGCCCTTTTTTGTTTTTTTTGAGACGGAGTCTCACTCTGTCGCCCAGGCGGGAGTGCAGTGGCCGGATCTCAGCTCACTGCAAGCTCCGCCTCCCGGGTTCACGCCATTCTGCCTCAGCCTCCCCAGTAGCTGGGACTACAGGCGCCCGCCACCTCACCCGGCTAGTTTTTTTGTACTTTTTAGTAGAGACGGGGTTTCACCGTGTTCGCCAGGATAGTCTCCATCTCCTGACCTTGTGATCCGCCCATCTCGGCCTCCCAAAGTGCTGGGATTACAGGTTTGAGCCACCGCGCCCGGCCTCTGGGAAGCCTTTACTCAAGTACCCCAAAGCCTCCCAAGACTGGGATGGGGATCTTTACTGCTCACTCCCTAACCCACCTCCAGGGGCAGGGACCACATCTTACTTTCTTCCTGCCTTCAGTGAATTTTTTTTTTTTTTTTTCCTGAGACGGAGTTTTATTCTCGTTGCCCAGGTTGGAGTGCAATGGCATGATCTCGGCTAACCGCAACCTCCGTCTCCCAGGTTCAAGCGATTCTCCTGCCTCAGCCTCCCGAGTAGCTGGGATTACAAGCATAAGCGACACGCCCGGCTAATTTTGTCTTTTTAGTAGAGACGGGGTTTCTCCATGTTGGTCATGCTGGTCTCGAACTCCTAACCTCAGGTGATCTGCCCACCTCGGCCTCCAAAGTGGTAGGATTACAGGTGTGAGCCCCCGTGCCCTGCCCAATGTTCATCTGAAGAATTCAGCCTAACATTTTCCAGCGGGCAAGCAGTTGAGTCAGAAATTAGCGCTTAGATTCTGGCAGGGCTCTAATTCAAATGCAAAATTCTTAAATAGCCTCACTTTAGTAGAGTTCTTTACAGTTTGCAAAACAATTCTCATACAGCTACTCTTTATGTCCTGGGGCAGGCAGGAGGCGCAGAAAGGAAATGTTTTAAACCAGGAGCTAGAGAGAAACGGGAAAATCCCGGCATAGAGATAACAATTTTGAGAAAGGAGCCAACAGCAAGCATGACCTTGCTCATCAGAGGAACTCCACCCTGGCACCTCGGATCCCCGCCCGTAGAGTCTGCGGCGCACCGAGCCCTCCCACCTCGAAGACTACCAATCCCAGCATGCCTCACAGTGAGTGACAGAACGCAGGGCATGCCGGGACACGTAGTCCCACCCTAGCACAGGAAAAGGTTAGAACGTCCTATGACGTCAGGAGGGCTCGGGAAAGGGGTTCGGAACCGGTCCAGGCTCAAGTTAAATCTCCCTCTAAAGAGCCGACCCTGGTTTCTTTGGCGACTCGGTTTTGACTCTAAACAGGTCCTGCTCCACAGTCTGGGCGGGCCTATGGTGTGTGCTGAGTAGCCTCTAGCGTGGAAGTACTGGAGCCAAGAAATAGTTTTCGAGACACTGGTTTGTTAGAGTAGTGGTACGTAGGGTGCCGCCCTAAACGGGGGCTGAGACGCTGCTTTTTCAGCAGCGCCAGTGAGGACGTGGCAAGACTGCCTCCGGCGTACGCTTCCTCTTCCTCAGCCCGTCGGGTTAGGGGAGCGGGAGGCGCAGAGGCTGCTGGGAACGCGCATGCGCCTAGCGCGGTGGGAGTCCACCTTTAACGTCCGCGGGCGCGGGGTGTGTCGGGTGTCGACAGCGGCGCTTTGCGGCCGGTCGTGCGGGTCGGGCGCGGGCGGGCGCGGCGGTAGTGGCGCGCACAGGTGATTGACTGGCCAGCTGCCTGAGGGAGCGCCGGGTCCTCCTCGCTAGCAGGTGGCTGAGCCCATTGGGGCGGCGGTGCAGACCGCGGCGGCGGCGGCGGCGGTCTGGCTCGGGAGGCGTTCCTGGGGCCAAGGCCATGGCCCCGCGGCTGCAGCTGGAGAAGGCGGCCTGGCGCTGGGCGGAGACGGTGCGGCCGGAGGAGGTGTCGCAGGAGCACATCGAGACCGCTTACCGCATCTGGCTGGAGCCGTGCATTCGCGGCGTGTGCAGGTGAGGCCCGCGCACCGCGCCTCGCGGGCCCCTTGCGCCGGACCTTGGAAAGCCGGGGCGGGGTAGGGGGAAAGAAGACGGCTAGCCCTTTGCGTGCATTTGGGAGGCGCGGAGCCGAGCTAGGTGGAGTTTCTCCTTTTGCGCCGTCTGCGCGACCTGGGAAACGCAGCCTTCCTAGGCTGTGCGCGGAGGTGATGCTGGCCAAAGCACTTTAGGAAGGTTTGGGTTCCCATCCAGAAGATGGCGGTGGAGATGAAGGCAGGAGCTGAGAGCTTAGCAAGCGTTGATGACTGGGGTATCTTGGCCACATCACGGCTCTTTCGTTTGTGAAAAGGAACTTTGAAAGTGAGCTTCATCACAGTGTATCTTGTTGGTGTTGACACCGAAGGCCTGATCATCTTAGTATTATTTTTGGAGAGGGCAGCTTTAGAAAAAACTGTGGTCAGCCTACGTCATCGATACCCTCCACCCCCGTTGACCTTCCCTCACTCGTTAATCTGGTTTTTTTGTTTTTGTTTGTTTGTTTGTTTGTTTTTAGCCTTTCTTTGGTCGTTCTGGTTCGACACCACTTTACCGAATACCAAGTTTGAGCTGTGATAGTGCTGTCCTTCACGTCTGCCCCGCCCTTGAACCTTGCCTTTCCTTAACCCCCTCTTGTAGATTGAATCCTTAGGCTTTGCTTCTGTTTGTTCCTTTTTTTCCACCTTGTAACGCGGGAACTATAGTTTTTGTTTCAGAATGTTGTTGAAATTGACTTGGCCAAGCCGGGCATGCTCAGTAGCCGTCTTTCGGCAGGCATTTATGAAATGCTTTCTGGAGTTTTTACATTCCGCTGGGGGATCCTGAAGGAATGGAAGTATGGTCTCTGGCTTTGGAGCTTAAAGTCTAGTCTGAGACGTGAAACAGGTTAGGGAGTTTTTGTAAAGCAAACGAATAAGTCCAAGCTCTGGGCGTCTGTCTCACAAGGAGGGTAAATCTGACTTTAACAGTAAGTTCTGGAATGACTGAAGTCTGTGTATAATAGAAATAATCAAGCTTCAGTCAGTTTCCAGACTAACCAAATAATGTAAATTCTTAAGAGTTCTGGTTGTTTGTGAGCCAGGGTCTCACTCTGTCACCCAGGCTGAAGTGCAGTGGCACAAGCTCGGCTCACTGCAACCTCCACTTCCCTGGCTCAAGCGATCCTCCTACCTCAGCCTCCGGAGTAGCTGGGATGAGAGGCATGGGCCACCACGCCCGACTCAATTTTGTATTTTTAGTAGAGATGGGTTTTCCCCATGTTGGCCAGGCTGGTCTCGAGCTCTGGGCTCAAGCGATCTGCCCACCTCCTCTGGGATTACAGGCGTGAGCCACCATGCTGGGCCAATAGTTCCGAGATATATATATATATATATATATATATATTTATTTATTTATTTATTGAGATGGTGTTTCGCGCTTGTTGCTCAGGCTGGAGTGCAATGGCGCGATCTCAGCTCACTGCAACCTCCACCTCTCTGGTTCAAGCGATTCTCCTGCCTCAGCCTCCTGAATAGCTGGGATTACAGGCATGCACCATCATGTCCGGCTAATTTTTTTTTTTTTTTGGTATTTTTAGTAGACAGGGTTTCTCCATGTTGGTCAGGCTGGTCTCGAACTCCTGACCTCAGGTAATTTGCCTGCCTTGGCCTCGGAAAGTGCTGGGATTACAGGTGTGAGCCACTGTCCACCTGGCTGATACTTTTTCTTTTTTTTTTTTTTTTTCTGAGACAGCATCGCGAGACGCTGGAAAAATTTAAAAAAAGAATACATTAAAAAAATATTTTGTGTGTTTTTAGTAGAGACGGGGTTTTGTCATGTTAGCCAGGGTGGTCTCGATCTCCTGACCTCGTAATCCGCCCGCCTCGGCCTCCCAAAGTGCTGGGATTACAGGCGTGAGCCACACAGTTTTTAAAAGAAAAAAAGAATAGACCCGGTGTGGTGGCTCATGCCTGTAAGCCCAGCACTTTGGGAGGCTGAGACCAGCCTGGCCAGCATGGTGAAACCCTGTCTCTACTAAAAATACAAAAATTAGCCGGGCGTGGTGGCGGGCGCCTGTAATCCCAGCTACTGGGGTGGCTGAGGCAGGAGAATCACTTGAACCTGGGAGGTGGAGGTTGCAGTGAGCCAAGATGGTGCCACTGCACTCCAGCCTGGGCAACAGGGCCAGACTTTGTCCCAAAAAAAAAAAAAAAATTATCTTATCTTGGCCTCTGTATTCTCTGTATGTTCTGTCTCTAAATTTCTCTGTTCTGGACATTTTATATGAATGGAATCCTAAAATATGTGGACTTTTGTGACTGATTTCCTTTACTTATCATGTATTTAAGGGTCATCCATGTTGTAGCATGTTTCAGCACTTCATTAAAAAAATACCTGGGAAATACATATAACAGTGTTTACCATCTTAAAGTGCACAATTCGGTGGGTTTCAATACCTTTATAGTGTTGTACAACCATCACCACTGTCTGGTTCCAGAACTTTTCATTATCCTAAAAGGAAACAGCATCTGTTAGTCACGTCCCACTTTTCCCCCTCCCCCAGCCCCTGGCAACTGCTAATCTACTTTCTGTCTCTGGATTTCTCTATTGATATTTCCACGGAATATTACAGCAATGGAGTTATACAGTACATGGCCATTTGTGTCTGGTTTCACTTAGCATAATGTTTCCAAGGGTTATCCCTCCTGCACATGTGTCAGTACTTTATTCCTTACGGCTGAGTATTCCATTTTATGGATAATGCCACATTTTATGTATCTGTTCATCAGTTGAGGGACATTTTGATAACTTCCAACTTTTGGTTATTTTGAGTAGGACTTCTCTGAATATTTGCATGCAAGTTTTGGTTTGAACGTCCGATTTCAGTTCTTTACCTGGGAGTGGAATTACTGGGTCATACACAGTCAATTCTGTGTTTAACTTACTGAACCGTGAAACTTTTCCACAGTGGTTGTACCGATTTACGTTCCCACCAGTGATGTATGAGGGTTCAACTGCCTCATTATCCTCATAAACATGTACTGTTTTCTGTTTTTCTGATTAGGCCTTCCTAGTTGGGTGTGAAGTGATACATCTTTGTGGTTTTGATTTGCATTTTCCTAGTGACTAATGAGTTCAGTGTCTTTTCACGTGCTTGTTGCCTCTTTTCTTTTTATTGATCAATAATATGCCATTGGACGGGCACGGTGGCTTACACCTGTAATCCCAGCACTTTGGGAAGCTAGGTGGGCAGATTACGAGGTCAGGAGATCGAGACCATCCTGGCTAACACAGTGAAATCCCGTCTCTACTAAAGAATACAAAAAATTAGCCGGGCGTGGTGGCGAGTGCCTGTAGTCCCAGCTATTCGGGAGGCTGGGGCAGGAGAATGGCGTGAACCCAGGAGGCGGAGCTTGCAGTGAGCCTAGATCACACCACTGCACTCCAGCCTGGACGACACAGGGAGACTCTGTCTCAAAAAAAAAAAAAGTAATAAAAATATGCCATCATATCTCTGTATCTACCACATTTTTAATTTGCATTCGTCTGCTGATAGACATTTGGGTTGTTTCTACTTTTTGGTTATTATGAATAATGTTGCTATGAACGTTCGTGTAGTAGTTGTTATGTGGGCATTTGTTTTTATTTCTCTTGGTTATAGAACTGGAAGTGGGACTGTTGGGTTGTGGGGTAACTTTTAACTTTATTATTATTATTATTATTATTTTTTGAAACAGAGCCTCTCTCTGTTGCCCAGGCTGGAGTGTAGTGGTGCCATCTCGGCTCACTGCAACCTCCGCCTCCTCGGTTCAAGTGATTCTCGTGCCTCAGCCTCCCAGTCGCTGGGCTTACAGGTGCCCACCACCACGCCGGCTAATGTTTTGTATTTTTTAGTAGAGACTGAGTTTCGCCAGGTTGGCCAGGCTGGTCGTGAACTCCTGATCTTGGGTGATCCACCCACCTCAGCCTCCCAGAGTACTGGGATTACAGGCTTGAGCCACCTCACCCAGCACTTTTATTTATTTATTTTTTGAAATGAGGTCTCACTCTGTAACCCAGATTGGATTGCAGTGCAATCATGGCTCACTGCAGCTTTGAACTCCTGGGCTCAAGGAATCCTCCCGCCTCAGCCTCCTGCCACTACAGGCGCATGCCACAACACGTGGCTAATTAAAAAAAATTTTTTTGCCAGGTGCGGTAGCTCACGCCTGTAATCCCAGCACGTTGGGAGGCCGACACAGGCGGATCACGAGGTCAGGAGATCGAGACCATCCTGGCCAACATGGTGAAACCCTGTCTCTACTAAAAATACAAAAAATTAGCCAGGCATGGTGGCGGATGCTGGTAGTCCCACTCAGGAGGCTGAGGCAGGAGAATGGCGTGAACCTGGGAGGCGGAGCTTGCAGTGAGCCGAGATTGCATCACTGCACCACTCCAGCCTGGGTGACACAGTGAGACTCCATCTCAAAAAAAAAAAAAAATTTTTTTTTGTGGAAATGGAGTCCCACTTTAGTGCCCAGGTTGATCTTGAACTCCTTGCTTCAAGTGATCCTCCTGCCTTGGCCCCCTAAAATGCTGCGCTTGCATGAGTTCATGGCCTTTTTTTTTGGCTTTTTTTTTTTTTTTTTAAATATGAGTGTCTTGCTGTATTGTGTAGGCTGTCCTTGAACTCCTGGGCTCACTCAATCCTCCTGCCTCAGCTTCCCTAGTAGCTGGGACTATAGGCGTGAACTAACATGCCTGTGTTTAATATTTTGAGGAATTATCAGGTTGCTTTCCAGAGTGACTGCACTATTTTCCAAATTCACAAGCAGTGTATGAGGATTCCAATTGTTGCATGTCTGTGTACTTGTTACTGCCTTTTTTCTTTTAGCCATCCTAGTGGGTGTGAAGTGGTGTCTTTTATGTTTTGATTTGTGTTTCAGTGATGACTAATCATATTAAACATCTTTTTGTGTACTTATTGGCCATGCATACATCTTTTTTGGAGAAATGTCTGT